AGAAAGAAAGAAAGAAAGAAAGAAAGAAAGAAAGAAAGAAAGAAAGAGAAAGAAAGAAAAGAAAAAGAAAAAAAGAAATCTTTTTAAAAGTCTTTAAAAAAAACATCAGGGCACCTGGGTGGCTCAGTTGGTTAAGCGTCCAACTTCTGCTCAGGTCATGATCTTGTGGTTCATGAGTTCAAGCCCCACATCCAGCTCTCTGCTGTCAGCTCAGGGCCTGCTTCGGATCCACTGTCCCTCCCCTGCTCACTTTCTCTCTCTCTCTCTCTCTGTCTCAAAAATAATAAAAGTCTTTAAAAAGTAAATAGGAGCACCTGGGTGGGACAGTCGGTTAAACATCTGACTCTTGATCTCAGCTTAGGTCATGATCTCAGTTTATGAGTTCGAGCCCAGTGTCAGGCTCTGCGCTGATGCTGTGGAGCCTGTTTTGGATCGGGCTCCTTCTCTCTGGACCTCCCTTGCTTGTATGCTTGCTCTCGCTCTCTCTCTGTCTCTCTCTCTCAAAATAAATTTAAAAATTTTTGTTTAAATAAATGAAATGAACTGTACTTGGGGTATGCTGCCACCAAGTGATGGTAGGTGTTTTCATTATAATAATGGCCTGAACACCAGATTTATGCCAAAGGCACAGTCCACAATTAAGCATGCTTTTCTACTTTTACAAATGTTTAAAGAAACCATGAAAACAGCTAAATGTAAATAATATTATAATTAAATATGCAAAAGTTCTCCATTTGAAGAAGAAAGCCTGTAAGTATAATTCTAGTTGTATAATCTTAAATAAGTTGCTTAAATTTCCTTGGCCTCAGTTTCATTATTTGTAAAATAAGAAATTGATTAGGGGCGCCCAGCTGGTTCATTCAGTAGAGCATGCAACTCTTGATCTCAGGGTCGTGAGTTCAAGCCCCACATTGGGCGTAGAGCTTACTTTAAAAAGAAACAAACAGGGGCGCCTGGGTGGCGCAGTCGGTTAAGCGTCCGACTTCAGCCAGGTCACGATCT